TCCTTCATCACCATCGAAAGTGCTTTTAAATGGCCCGCCCAGTCCTTAGAGTGGAAACTAAGCCCCTTTGGTGGAGAAGCTAAAGGGGAGGGGAGTAAGAAGAAGGGAGGAAAAGAAATTAGTAACCAAGAATCTAGCTCTTTAAAAAACTTGGGAAGACAGCAATATTGGAAACAGCCCTGTTTTATACTGTGTTGAGTGTTTTAGTAAAAACAAAAACAGGGTTTCCCCAAACTGCCTAAAGAAAGAAAACTTTCTTAGAGAAGGTTTCTTCCTTCTATATCCTGAGACCTCTCATCTCCTATGCTGAATCTACCTCCTCAGGCACAGCACAGCCAGTCAGGAAACATCTCTCACAGGACATGAAGCTGTAGGATTTGAATTACATAATTTCTCTCTCTCTAGGCAGTCTCTTAGGAATTGTCTACTATGCATTTTGAAGACTTCTTGTGTTTGGTGAGAAGACATCTGAAGAAATGCTAATGATCTCGCCAGACATCTGTATGTGTTCATTGCTCAGAGCTTAAGCCCACAATGGGAGCCATGCTGGTAGACACAAAAGAAGGAAAAGAAGGTAGAGCATTGGGCTAAGAGGCATGGCATGGAGAAAATATGCCTATTCCATAAGAGCAGAGGCCAGAATCCAGCAAAGTTTCAGACCTAACAGCTGTAAAGTCAGAGGAGTCCTCAAACAGAAAAGGTTGCTGGGCCTTGGCACATATTTTGCAATGGGTTGTGGTGTGAGGGATGTTTGGAACAACTGTAAACAGGAACTGCTGTGTCCTTATTAGGAATAATCACTTCTTATTAGGCAGAGAAATGGCTGTTGACACTGCTTGTGACCCCCTTCCTCTCTCCGGGCCCCAGCCTATCCTCCCCATTGCTTCTGTAAGAACCCACTGAGGCTGTACATTATGATCACTCATGGAGATTGCTGCTCGGCAGGGCCCAAGAAAAGAAAAAGCCAGAGATTCCATCTGGCTGGGTCCACCTTGATCCCAGCTGCTCACAAGAGCTGTTTATTCCTACCAACACTGAGCCTAGTGTGGCCCTTCTCCCTACAGGGTGGCCTTAAGAGCTGTCCAGCAGGCCTGGCAAATTTTGTCAAAGCCAGAACACTGGGCAAGATTTCAGGGGGGGTGGGTCCGAGTGCTCAGCAGCCTGGATTTGGAGAGGCAAGAACTCAGCAGAAGGTAGAGGCTATGGAAAGAACAGGTTGGTGCCTCAGCTTCCTTGATGTCAAGGGCATATAAACTGTCAGGTGCCAGTGCCAGAGGTCATTGCCCAGGGGTCACTTTGATCCAGTTTCATCTCTACATAGGTAGTTCAAAGTATAGGCTGTGGTGACAGACGGTATGGGTCAAAATCTGGCTCTGCCTCTTTTTAGATGCATGTTACAGGGGGATAAAGTAAGACTTGGCAAGTAGCTGAATGAGAGGAAACAAAGAGCCTTTTAGAAGTCTAGGCATAGGCCAGACTACCTCAGAGGAGGTGAAGGTCATTTATAAAAATTTGAGATTAAGGAGACAGCAAATTTAAAGATGAATGTGAAGTCAGTTTTTCACATTTTGAGTTTCAAGAGCTACTGAAATAATCAAATGAAAATGCCAAGTAGGAAGGACGAAAAAATGAAATGGGAGTTTAGGAGGGAGGTTAGAACTAGATTCTTTTTGGGCAGCCCAGGTAGCTCACTGGTTTAGCGCTGCCTTCAGCCCGGGGCCTGATCCTGGAGACCTAGGATCGAGTCCCACGTCGGGCTCCCTGCATGGAGCCTGGTTCTCCCTCTGCCTGTGTCTCTGCCACACTCTCTCTCTGTCTCTCATTAATAAATAAAACTTTTTAAAAAAACTAGATTTTTTTATCATTTATCATGCACAACCCTACTTTATTTCGTATATTTTACCTTTAGCAATATAATGAACACTATGAACTTCTAGTCCATCTAATCATTACCAGTAACCCACACCTACTCAGGTGTGCATCCATATCCCATTCTTTCACCTCAGAGGAAACCGTGATCGTGAATCCTTGTCCAGAATTCCTTTGCCTTGTTTTATTGCATATATATTCTTGTATAAAAAATAAATTGACTTTGCTTGTTTTTGAACTTTATAAAGAATTAATACTATAGTGTCTTTTGGAACTTGCTTTTGTCACTTAATCTTATGTCACTGAGATTCATACATGTTATGTGTAGATGAGCATCATTAAGTTTCACTACTATATAACATTTCATTGTGCGAAAATTCACTTTGTATTACCTAGTGTCATTGGGCATATAAATGTTTCCAGTTTTTTTGCTATTCTGAACAGTGAGCTAACAGCTGTAAAAGGCTGTTATGAGCCTTTTCTCATGTGTCTCCTGGTGCATAGGTGTAGAATTACTCTTGGGCTTATACTGAGGAGTGGAATTGCTGGGTCATATAGCATACAGATGTTCTGTTCTTCAAGATAATGCCAAAGTATTTTTCAAAGTAGTTGTGCTAATGAGATGAAGATTGGAGAGGTATCATTAGGGCAACTATTAGTCATAGAAGCAGTTGACTTTGTCCAGGGAGATAGTATAAAGCAAGAAAAAAGAGATTATAGTCTGATTCATAAAAACATGTACACTCAAGTATTCATAGGAGGAAAAGGAGCCAGATAAGGAAACAGAAATGGGTGTTAGGAGCAACAGGTGCCGGCGGTGGCGGGGAGCACTACCAGGAAAGAAGAGACCCAAGTACTCCAAAAGAGAAGAGTTCCTTAAAGACTGGGTAACCAACATCAAAGGATGCTGCAGAGATGAGAAGTATAAAGGTAAAGAAAAGGTCAGTGATCTTTAAGAAAGCTATTTGTGGTTTTGTTGACTGCTGAGGCTGGATGCCAGATTTCAAGAGATTTACAGGTAAGTGTGGAGGGTAGAGAAAAATACTGTAATTATAAATACCATTTGGACAAGTTTGACAGTTGCGAAGTAGATGTAGAAAGTTAGAGAAGATAATAGAGCTGAGACATGATTTTTTATTTTTTAAGGATGGGAAAGACTTGACATGTTTATAGATTCAGAAGTAGAAGCCAATGGAAAGGAAGAGATTGAAGCAGTAAGAGGTTCATTGTAGAGGAAAGTCTTTTAAGGATTGGGCGAGAATAGAATCTAAAGTGCAGATTTGTTCTTACCAGCTCTATTTCTCTGAGCGAGGGAAGGTTTTTTTTAAAAGCTTTAAAATGCATCAGAAATTACCACCATCATGGCAACTAACATTTTTTGAGTGCAACATTAAAAGATTCTTTCCTAAGCACTTAACACATACTGTCTATCTTGTATAATCCTTGGAACAGTTCTATGGCATGGGTACTTTTTATCATCTCTATTATAATTTTCATTTTACAGAAAAGGAAACCAAGACTTAGCAATATGACTAGACCAGGCAGCAGATTGAGGCCACGTGCTCTGAATTATTAAACACAAGCTGGGAATTAGGAAAGTGGAACAAGCTTATGTGAGATGGCAAAAGGTTTAGGACTGAAGGAAATCAGAGATGTAAGAAGAATGGAAGAGGTTCAGACTAGGCACCATTGGTAATATGATAAGGAATTGGGGGAAGAGGAAAGAGAAGTAAACTTATGGAGCTCCTGTTTCAGCCTAAGTGCTAGGCCCTTTACATACATTGACTTATTTCAATAGAAATAAATAGAGAACTAAGAAGTAGCAAGGGCCCAGTGGAGATTAGGAAACATCCAAGTGTAATGGAACTACACAGTCTGGATTTTCTCCAGTATGCTCAAATGCCAGGAGCAGGAATAGGAGGACCGTGCAGTTGAGCAAGGGTTGGGGATATACATAGTGTAAGCCAAAAGGCAATAGGATGGATGAGACCAAAAAGAATCACTTCCTGGCTAATGTGGGGACCTCGTGGGGAAGAAGACAAAGTCATGGGGGTAGATGAACTGAAAGGGAGGGGAAGATAAAGGGACTGAATTTCCCAAAGGGGGAAAGAGCCAGTTTAGCACTGGCATGAATGGGAGAGAGTGGGAAGTGAGAGCGTGAGGCACAGCAGCGTTCCTGGTTTGGGATCTTAAAGACTGAGCAGCTGAGTGCTGAGCAGTTTGCAGTGTGGTCACCGGGGTGGGGCTGACAGAGAATAGAATGTAAGTGAAGATCACTGAGACTGGGAAACCAGAAGCCTGGGCTATGCACTTTTCAGTCTATGTTATATAATCTTCATGACCACCAGTGAGGTAGGTGTGACTAGAGACATTACATTGATAACCAAACTGAGGCTCCCCTAACTGGGAGGAAGTGCTGGGATTTGAATTGAATCTTCCATGCCTGCAATTCCTACTCACTATCCAAGACTCAGTTCAGATGTCCTCCGTTAAAACTGAGCCAGGTGCCCTTCTGAGATTTCATGAATCTTTCTATCCCCTCGTATTGCAATTGTTCATTTATCTGTCCTTCATTAGTATATAGGACGATGACTATATTTCCAGTGCCTGGTACCATTTCTGGTCCAGAATGGGCTCAGTAAAAGTTTATGGAAATAATGTATTTGAAAACAATAGACTGAGACATACAAGCCAGGAGTCTCTATTTCTAACATTTGGACTTAAAGTCCTGGTAAGTTTGGTTTGAGGAAAAAAAAAAGATTATAAAAATAAGATCATTGTGGCTAATAGAAGGGCAGCCAAGAGAAGCAATGAGAAGGGGGCCTGGGAAGGAGTGGGCTTATGTGGATAGGAATGCATTAATTAATTAATCAAAAGCCCAGTTTTCTGGGAGGCCACCAGATACAACTCGAGTTTATCCTACCTCCATCACTCCCCTCCTCACCATAGCCTGACCCCAAAAGAAGGTAGAAAGGTTATTCCCCCTCTTCTACTTGCCCACCACAGCCTTGCTTCATTCCACATTCTTCATACCAACCTTTCCTTTCGCTGCCCCCGAGCTCCTCCCTTCACATGCATCCTCCCACGCCCCCCCCCACCCGCTCCCCACCCTGCCATACACACACACTCACTCATGTCATTCCATCCCCAGATGAGCATCTCTGCTTGTTCTCTCCCTGGCTGCAGCTCCTTGCTTTCCCAGACTGAGAAGAGAAAGCCTGTTTTCAGTTAAGCTTTGGTCACACACAGATGCCTTTTCCATTACTCTTGTTTTTCCTCTTGAAGTGTAACATTTCTAATTAACTCTCCACAGGGGAGGAGGCCCTGTGTTAATCAGCCCCACGTGAGGAGGGCAGGGTCCTTAGAGGCCAACCCCACATTGCCTATAGCCAACCCCTGAGCAGGCTGCAACAGGAGCTTCCTTTGCTTTGGGGTAGGGATGGTGACCCTGTGGACACAGTTTAAAGGCATGTCCAGGCTTGCCCACCTCTGTGGCTAAGATCTGTGAAATGGACACTCTTCCAAGCTCCTTTACTGACTTCTGACAGCCCAAAGACACCAAGTTAACCTTGTCTAAGGACATGGAATTTATCTTGGTTTATCTTAGAACCTAGGGGAAGAGTTAGAAAATAAGGACCATAATTGGAGTTGTAAAAATCAAAAGGATCTCCTCCTAGATCTCTACTTTCGTATATGTCTAAAGCACAATTTCCCCCACAAATGAGGCTATTACTGAAAATGTTATGGAGATTTCATATTACTGCCCATGTGATATAAGAAAATACACAAAGCTGCTTTGAAATCTGGATGCTGAGCAGTTGCCTTAGTTCAATTATTAGACCCCATGGATTAGCCACACAAATTCAAACTTGGGCCTCCAGAAAATGAAATTCACATTTCATAGATTCTAAAGGTTGGCCACAACTGTAAAAACTGCAAGTACTTGTGAACGTCAAGCATTGGTTGTGATAAGTCTTTGGTGTGATTTTTATGAACTACGGTAGGCCAGGAATTGTGCTGGGAGCTTGGCAGTCACTGTGAAGTTTGCCAGGTGGGTAATTGCCATGATTTTGTGTTAGACCCAGGACCACTGTGGGGAAACCCCACCTGTGCAGAGGGCCTGGATTCTGCATCTTTGCCTAGTTGGAGCTGCACTTTGGGAATCCTTGATACTGGGTGTCATGGGCTAGAGATTCACCGGATTCACTCTGGGGCTGGAAAGAGGAATTGAAGAAGTACCCCTTCAGCAGCAGAAGGACAAAAGCAATGTGAACTGGGGTGTGGGAACAGGGGGATAGGAGGAATTGGTTTGACTGCAGGGACTGCAGAGTCTTGTCAGATTAGAGGCCCAGAGAACTCTGACAAGTGAAGGACACAGGCTGTTTATAATCATTAGTTAAGTAGGCTTGATTACACCCTGAAAGCTCTGGGCCCCCCCCCCCTCTCCAAGGCACCTGGGTCCAATTACCTCAGGGCCCATCTACCTAGAAGAGAAGTGGCATCTGGCTCTGATTCGCATCTTGACTTCACTCTCTCCAGACACTCATCCTCTTTCTGACATGAATTTAAGGGAATACAGGTGGTAGAGGGGGCCCTGGCTATTGACACATACCCTCTAGAAATATGTCACTGTTTTATGTTTACATCTGCCTTAAGTTTGATCACCAGCAACTTATTTCTGTGCACAGTTCACCCTGCAGCGATGACTACACAATGAGATGCTATCCCCCCCAGTTTTATTGAGATATAATTGACATATAACAATGTATAAGCTTAAAATGTACAGTGTAGTAGTTTGATACATGTATATATTGTGAAAGGATTACCAAAATAAGGTTAGTTAAGAGATTCATCACCTCACATAGTGACATTTTTGGGTGTGCTTGTGTGTTCTGTGAGAACTTTCAAGATTTACTGTCTTAGAAGCTTTCAAGTATACAATACTACTAACAATGCTGTATGTTAGATCCCCAGGACTTACTCATCTTCTGACTTGCAGTTTGGACCCTTTGACCATCTTCACACATTCCTCCTTCATTACCCCCACCCCTATGCCTAGGCAACCAATCCACTCTCAGTTCCTATGAGTTCAGTTTCTTTATATTCCCATGTAAATGAAATTATACATGATTTGTCTTTCTCTCTCTGACTTATTTCAGAATAATGCCTTTAAGATTCATCATCCTCATTGTCTTAAATGGCAGGATTTCCTTCTTTTTATGGTTGAATAATAATATTCCAGTGTGTATGTGCACTGGAATCACACAGTTCACACAGTTCAGTTTATCACATTTACCCCATTCATCTCTAGACAGATACAGGGTGTTTCTGTGTCTTGGCTATTGTGAATAATGCTGCTGTGAACACAGGCATGCAGATATCTTTTAAAGATAATGATTTCATACCCTTCATTTTTTAAAAGTATTTATTTGAGAGAAAGCAAGCATGAACAGGGGGGAGGGGCAGAGGGAGAAGCAGACTCCCTGTTCAGCAGGGAAGCCTGCAGTGGAGCTAGATCCCAGAACCCTGAGATCATGACCTGAGCCCAAGGCAGTCACTTGATCGACCAACTGAGCCACCCAGGCACCCTCCTTTTCTTTTCTTTTCTTTTCTTTCTTTTCTTTTCTTTTTTCTTCTCTTTCTTTTCTTTTCTTCTTTTTCCATTTCCTTCAGATATATACCCAGAAGTAGGATTATTCAGTAGTTCTATTTTTAATTTTTAAAGGAACTTCTGTACTGTTTTTCTGAGTGACTGCACCAATTTATATTTCCACCAACAGTGCTCGAGGGTTCCCTTTTCTCCATCTTTTCACCGATGCTTGTTATCTCTTGTCTTTTTGATAATAGCCATTCTGACAGGTGTAGGGTGATATCTCACTGTGGCTTTGATTTGCATGATTTGATAATTAGTGATGTTGAGGATCTTTCCATGTACCTATTGGCTATTTGTATATCTCCTTTGGAAAATTTTTCAGATTCTTTGCCAATTTTAAAGATCAGACTTTTTGTGTGGTTTTTGTTTTTTTGGGTATTTTAGCTATGGAACTGTATGGCTTCCTTATATACTTTGAATATTAACCCCTTATATACAATTTAGAACTATTTTCTCCCACTCTGTTAGGTTGCCTTTTCATTTTGTTGATAGTTTTCTGTCCTGTGTAGAAAGAAGCTCTTCAGTTTGATGTAGTCCCACTTGTTTATTTTTGTTTTGGGTACTTGTGCTTTTGGTGTCATATCCAAAAAATGATTGCCAAGACCAATGTCAAGGAGCTTTTTCTCTCTGTTCTAGGAGTTTTATGGTCTCAGGTATTACATTTACATCTTTGATCCATTTCAAGTTAATTTGTGTAAGTGGTGTAAAATAAGGGTCCAGTTTTATTCTTTTGTGTGTGGATTATTTTAAGGGTACAAATTTAAATCTTTAGAAAATAGAAGAGTGGATTGGGCAACATACAGTGCATATTCATTGTGTTCAGATCACATGAATGGGCACTTTGCAGACAAAATAGAAAAATATAGTCTGAGATGTTAGGGTGTAAACTTTCTAAATGAAAAGACAACTCACTTGTGGAAAGTATAATTAGATGCTTTAACATGGAGACTAGTTAGGGAGGGCATCTGGATCTCCTTTTGATAATGCTAGTTAGAGAAAGATTCTCTGAAATGATACATTTAAGCAAAGATCTAAAATATAAAAAAGAGCTGGCTTTAGAAAGAACAGGTGGAAATACTTTCCACGAGAGAAACCAGAATGTGCCAAGTTCCTGAGGCTGAAAAGAGTTTGTTCAAGGAAGTTAAAGACCAGTGTGATTAAAGTTTGTTTTCCAAAACATAATGAGGTAACATTATATGTAAAATTTTGTTTACTGTATTTTTACTTAATATAAAAATGCATTTTCTGTGTTTTTTCAAAAATATAGTTTTAATGATTTAATTCCATTCAATAAAGAATATAATATGCATAATTATACTCTTCAAAAAACAATGTTTCCAGCTTTTTGCTTTTACAAATAATGGCAACATAGGCAGCTTTATATGTAAATACATAAATATACATACATACATAAATATTTGCCTGAACTTTTTACTTTTCCTTAGGAAAGGTTGCCAGGAGTGTAATAACTATTTGGTGGATAAACATTTCATTTCTTTTCTTTTCTTTTTTTTTTTTTGTATAAACATTTCAAAACCAAATTTCTCTCCAGAAAGTTGACCTATACTACTCTTTCATCAGCAGTATATGGAGTCCATTCCAGAGGCAGTGATAATTTAAGCAGGATTTTAAAAGGTTAACTATTAAATAGAAATCTTCTGTTATTAACTTTAAATTACTAAGGAATGTTAGAATAGAAGTTGCTTCAAAGTGTGTAAACTCAAGGTGCATGAGTGGCTCAGTTGCTTAAACATCTGCCTTTGGTTCAGGTCATAATCCCAGGGTCCTGGGTTTGAGCCCCAGGTAGGGCTCCATGCTCAGTTGGGAGCCTGTTTCTCCCTCTCTCTTTGCCCTTCCTCCTCACCACTTGTGCTCTCTTGCACTATCAAATAAATAAAATCTTTAAAAAAAGTAAACTGAAATATATGTGTAAATAAATCAGTGTAAGATAAAAGTGGTATCTCAATACATGGCTTTGGGAAAATTGTTTATTTGGAAAAAAAAATTACCTCCTTACCTCATACCATATTCTGAAATGCATTCCATGTGGATTAAAGAGGCAAACATAAACAATAAAGGGAAACTAAAAAAAAAAACTCTAAGAAAATATAGTGTATATTTATATCATAGAAGAGGAAGGCAAAAAAGTCAAGAAAGAAAGCAGAAAGGAAAAAATTAGTAGATCTAATTGCATACAAATTCAAAACTCCCTCATCTATTTCAAAAGTCCCATCAACATAAGTTCAGCCTCTGAGAATAAAATGGTACGCTAGAAGGTTTCTTTTTTTTTTAATTTTTATTTATTTATGATAGAGAGAGAGAGGGGCAGAGGGAGAAGCAGGCTCCATGCACCGGGAGCCTGATGTGGGATTCGATTCCAGGTCTCCAGGATCGCTCCCTGGGCCAAAGGCAGGCGGTAAACCGCTGCGCCACCCAGTGATCCCCACTAGAAGGTTTCTTAACAGAAACCGTTAACATACAGTGAGTGCTTGCCGGGTACTGGCTAAATACTTAATTTGCCTTTTATCATTTAGTCCTGCAAAGTGGTTACTACTACTATCAGCCCCTGGCTCAGAGGTGCTGGAGTCAGCAGCAGTTAGTTGTGCTAAATGAGGTG